ATACGTTAAAATTACATGCACAGAGTTTTACAATTATAGCAAAAGCCGGAAGTTTTGAAACAAGCTCCCAGCAACGAAACAAATGAATGATATTTTAATGTTACCTTGTATTTATATTTTTTTTTTCGTAAAACCTAGATTACTTATAAGTACCGTGCCGTACAAAATTATTGGCTCGGAGACACTTTCATCTGATCACAATTTCTAATCAGATCTTTTAGAAAAATGTTTAAAATGTACCTTTTGAGCCAATTAGTAAAGTGCAAGTCTGAAGTTACCAGAAAAATTCGTTGATTTTTTGCAATTATTTATTTTTTGCTGACAGTGTCTTCCACATACAAAAAAATGTCGAACATAGTTTGTATGGAAGAAACTCTCAGTAAAAACAATACCAAATATATTGCCTCGTTCAAAGCCATGAGCAAAATCGTGAATACATGGTTTTCCGCAAAACAAGCGGATCTTAGTAATTTTGATAAAAATCTTAACGAACTCCGCACAGCTTTGAAAAGTACTGGAATTTCTCAAACTGTCAAAATCCATTTTATCCTTAAACATTTAAAGCAATCTATTTCATTCTTGAATAAAGATGGTTTAGGATTATGGTCCGAGCAGGCCGGGAAGTCAGTTCATAGGGAATTCATTAAATTCTGGGATAGATTCAAAATAAATATGATTGATAAACCAACTTTTGTGGGTCGCCTGAAGAAAACTCTAATGACATTTTCATTCCAGGATATATAAAAACTTAACTAAATAATAAAATATTTAAATACTAAAATGTGTGACTATATTATATGGTAAGCCAACAAAAAAAAAATAAAAGGAAACAAAAAACAAATGTAAAAAAATAAAGCAAGAAAAAAATATAAAAAAATAAAACCAAAAAAAGAACAGAGGTGCAAAGTAAGTTGTCTCTACGTGGTGCGCCTTGGAAACGATTGAAACCGGCTAAAAACTTACATAAACTTATATTTCCACGTAATATATATACACACATTTACTCACACATACATTGTTGAATATTTAATGCACAAGGATGTTTTTCTCTTTCGCAAAAGTCGGTCCTATCATAACTATGTAAAATGTTGATATCTCTAAAACAGGAGCAGCTAGGATTTCAATTCAAAGGAATTCTTAACCTAAAAATATCAACAAATACAACCCTGCTTTCAGTTTTTGTCGACATTTTTATGCAACCTATCTTTGCTTCCTGCCCACCGTGTGCAACTTTATGAATTTAAAATGGAAATTGTGAATTTGAATTGTTGCTTTCTGAATTTGAAATGAAAATTCTGAATTTCAAATGGAAATACTGAACTTGAATTGTAACTATCTGAATTTGAAATGGAATTTCTGAATATGAAGTGCAACTTTCTGAACTAAAACTGAAAAGGGTGTAGTTACTGGAAAATAGATTAATAAAATATTCTCTATATAAATTAAAATCTTAACTATTTGCTCCATCTTCGATATTTGCAGTACACAAAAATAATAATAAATAGCGAGAACAAGATGAAGAAGTAGAGCTGCTAAACGAATTACGAATGTGGCGTGAAAACAGGGCAATTCACGAATTACTTAGAGAGCGATTTACGAATCGTGAAAACGTGGTATAAAGCTAAACGCACATCAGCGAGGTTGCGATAGTGCTAGCAATAGATAGCGATGGCAATAATTAACGTCAATCGCAGCGATAGATCCCGTTGGGACACGTTTTGATTTGAATACAGTGCTGCGTTCGATTTCTCCCGCTATCTCTATCACTCTCGCTATTGCGCTGGTGTGTACTTAGCTTAAAAATACCAGTCGCTAGAATGGTAAAAGGAAATAAGGACTGGTAGAGAGAGCTGAAAACCCAACTGGTGGTATTCGAGTTCACCACTACAGAGTAGCAGGGTATCTACATACTTACATATCTATGTACATTAGGGTGGTCCAAAAACAGTAAAGTAGGAATTGTAATGCTCTCACCCCCTAGGATTGTTCTATATCGAAAAAAGTATATCCCTATTATTTTATTTTGAAATCAAAAAACATGATAGGTCGCTCAAGGCGCTTAAAGCTTTCAATGTATTTTTATATGGGAAAAATTAAATTTTTTGTTCACAAGCATTTTTGGACCACCCTAAAGCAAATATACTGTATTCACAGTTATTTGGAGTGTTCACAGTTCGTTCCAAATTGTGTCTGAAAATGTAGACGTCTACATTTTGAGACATCTTTAGCATCAAACTGTGAGCACCCCTTTCTAGCAGTCGTCGCAAAATCGTCTCAAAACTTTGCTGGTGTTGCCAGACATTTCTTCTTTGCGTGCTTTTTTATATGTCGCCTTTCGATTTTGTTTCTGAAAAATTGTAATTATTTAACTTAATTACCAATTCCTAATATTTGTTATTTCTTTGCATCGATTTGTTTCTTTTCATCAGAAATTGCGCTCAAATTAAATGCAAATACAGAAAACGTGCCCAATAAATAAAAAAAATGCGATTAGTATTGCCATAATGCAACCCTGCTGCGAGGTTGCAAAATGTAGACGCGTAAAAAACATATCTTTGAGTGTGACAAATTGTAGACGGCGTCGTTTTCCAATTTTGTATGGGAAACAACAACACCACAGATTTTACGGTTAGAAAACGTCTTAAAATGTAGACGTCTACATTTTGAGACACTATTTGGAACGAACTGTGAACACCCCAATTGTTTTCCCAAAGAGTTTTGCTTTATTTAGTTATTTTCAAGTGTTGCGAATAAAACTTCAATCTAAGATTTTAGACATTCGTAACAAAAATCTTAAGAAGAAAATCTACGCTACGTCCTTCTTTGGAAAAAATACAGTGACCCAAATATAAAGTAGTACGCGACATTTCAGCAAGTTTTGGCTATTTTTCTTTATTTTTTTCTTATGAAAATATTTCACCAAAGTTTGTAACTTTTTAATCCGAATCTTTAGCAAAATTGTGGTATGCAGTTTAATAGTCTATTAAATTTTAGTATAATATGGTGCAAATTTCAAGCAGCTAGGACTTACCATTGATTTTTGGCATTTTTTTTTTTTTGTATGACGGAGTTACGCATTTTTTCCATACAAAGTATGTTCGACAATTTAACAAAAAAAAAAAACAAATGCGGAACACCGTCAACAAAAAAAATTGTCAAAAATCATCGGAATGTGCTAGTTACTTTAAATTTGCACTTTATGTATTATACAAAAATTTTAAATTTTTAAAGAAGCTGATTAAAAGTTAAAAATTTGGAGAAATTTTAGAAGGTAATTTTAATCAAAATCACAATTTTTTGTTTTTCTGGCCGTCATGTTGAAGTTTGATCAAACCGCTTGCGTTGTGTATGGAAAGTTTAAAAAATTCGCCCGCGGCACTAGTATATTCTAGCCACTAGCGGCACCCCACGCATACGCTCACGGCACACCCTTGGGGAAAGCCTGTCTTAGAGGCTCGTATATAAGGCCGGCTGCACTGAACAATTGCTCACTTTCGACGAATAAAGTAAACACATTAATTAAAATATATATGTAACTATTAATACAACTACGTAAAATTTGAATAGACTGATGTATTTTACAGATCATCAGAAAAGTGCAAACGTTAACAACAAATGCGAACACATTTGATGGCGCCCAATTAAATCTACATATTTCTATTTTCTACAACATGAAGCAGCCTCCAAGGGTTGTTTTGCCTGTAAAAAAAAAACTAAACGTTAAATTGGAACAACCTTTAACATATGAGATTGTGTGCTTAGTGGTCGTTAACTGCGCGCTCTGTCCTGTACACTTTCGCATTCGTAAAATATGCGTATCATTTGATGCGAATGCGAATGTCAAAGCGGATGTGTAAAATGATGCGAATCATTCGCATAACAAATGCGTATGCAAATATTCGCATAATCCCTGATATGTACATACATATGATATATATATCCGTGTTTAAGTGACTTGCACCTACTTAAAGAGAGCATCCTTGCGCAGCTTTATTCTTCAACGGATCCCTGTGTAAATGCTCAAGAAAAGCATCCCTACTTGGACTTTTACTTCCGAATTTCCAATGATGTGTATAAATGCGCTAAGCGCATTCCCAACGTTCCTTCTTTTTGCATCCTCAATTAACCAAGACGACATCGGAAGCTGCGACGTGGGAATCAACAACGCTAACATCAATATCATTCTAATAACTCGCGTATACATTCCTACATATCTGTGTTCGTATGGAAAAGTAGCTTATGTCGAAAGGCTGGCTTTAGTATAAATCGACATTCGCAGCATACGATTGCGAATTACTCACTGGCGGTGAGCCGTTGAGAACTTTTGGCAAATAAACGTGCAAGAAATAGCTCCGATACTAGCAAGTCAAGATTCTTATTAAGTCTCATCAAAAAATTCTTTGTCGTTTAAAGAATAAAGGGAATGCCGCATTATACTAAAGCCAGCCTTTCGACATAAGCTACTTTTCCATACGAACACAGATATGTATACAACATTGCATAAGCATACATATCTAACCAATCAGGTCGTAAATCAGTTCACATGTTGATAGTGTTTTCAAATGCATTTAAGTTTCCCTTAATTTGTGAACTCATCCAATCTTCACTTTGCGAAGATTCACTCATATCATTCATTCATTTACATATTTATACACGTAACTTTTTAATTCTAAGCACATTTTATTGTTAATAAAATCAAACACCTGAATTCCTCAACAAACCTCTTTTTTTAACAATCTGTCTGACAAAACTATAGTATCAAAAACATTATACTAATCAGCACAGAGCAATCCTATTTATAAATAACCAGTTAGTAGTTAGCTGAAAACAGCGTCACCATGTAAAAATTACAAGTTAAAAGCAACGCAAAGTAGTCGAGGCATAGTCACCCCTACTTAAAAAATAGTGAACTTTTAATGCATGTATAGTTAGTTGAGTTTCCTACAGGGTATGTGTGTCTTTTTTATATATTTGCCATTACGCTATTGTGTCTTACTCACCTCCTTATGGTGCTGTGGCGTTGGCAGGTGGAACGTCGAGTTGATGAATAGTAACGCTTCGAAGCGGAGCTATTGAGCGATGACTCGCGATGCATGCAAATGGTATCGTTGTGTGGGTGTCGTTTTTTGTGTCGCACGCCAGACCCTTGACAAAACAAGTATCTAAAAAGGTGAAATATGCAAAAGAGCAGCGAAAATAGCATGGCATGAAAATCAAAATTAAAATCAAATAAAAATCACATACAAACGCTACATGAGAGTGTGGGAGGGTATTGCCAAAATGTTTTCATAGTTAAAAGCCCATGTGGGCATACAATATTGTTCGAAGCGTAAGCAACTTGTTCTTTTACAATATTCAGAGAATATGATGTTCCCCTTGGGCTACCTTAAGATTTAAAAATAAAAAAAAATCGCTAATATGTGCTCAATGCGAAAATTGTGTGAATTCTAAAAATTACAAAGGCCTGCGATCGTTTTCGTCTTGAAAACTAATTAGCAATTTGGGTAAGTTTTAGGTAGTGCGCTACCATAGCGCATATTCCGATCTGCCTTATTTGAAAAACATCATTGTTCTCCACACTAAAAGGTTAGTGCTAGGTAAAAGGACTACGAAAAAAAAAACAATACAAAAAATACTTTTATTATGTTCCACCATGTAAATTTACCGAGAAAATTACTTTTTTCATTTTTCATATGATACCTAAGAAAATTTCTATTCAGAACCAAAGTTTGATAACACCAGTCTGTGCTTCTTGGAAGAAAGTAAAATTTGTCCAGTGCCTCAGGAGTGCCATGCCGTCTTTCACTATCTCGCTAGATTTAGTTGCATAAGTTCTAAAAAGGCTTGTACAGCGTCATTTTTTGTTAACGCTGAGTTAACACAGTAAATTAATATATGGCACTAGCACATTTGCTAGGGCTTGGCCGAACTTCTCCTCTGCTTTGCCTTGATGTTGTCACACAAAGGGTTTCGACGAGCTTTTTTCATAACAGAAATGCACTGGGATGTTTGCCATTGCCTCCAATTGTTTGGATGTTGCTCGGACTAGGGATGGAACCCAGGACCCAGGTAGTGCATATTACTAACCCCTCGACCACGGCGGCCTTGTAAGTGATTCAATATTTTGGGACTACGTATGTGTATCTATGTATAATGATATATTCTTCTACATATATTTATCCGGGTACCACATTGACAAGAGTTTTGTAAATTAGTTAAATTAAAAAGTAATTATTAAGTCGAATTCATACAAGTAGGGATGTTGCGATACTATAAAAGTATTAATACCAGTATCAAATGCTTTATCGGAAGCTAAGTGTCAACACACATATTGGTATTGGTATCGGAAATAAAATAGCGATATTTAATTTTTTTATACAAAAAACTATTGACATAATATGAATGGAGTTAATGAAAATGAATAATATGTCTTTAACAACTGCAGTGCGTAATAAGCAAACAAGAGCTAAACGCGAAAACTACGACGTTGTGTCAGGAAACGCTCTTATTAAAATTAATAAATATAATAGTAGTTGGATTCATGAAATATAAAGTTTAGGTACAGCGATTTTTTTGCTATACGGGCAACTGTTTGTAAAATATCGAATATTTTTCCATATGGAGAAAATGAGCGACACCTTCAACAAAAAATAATTAAAAAACCGTTGCCAATATCGCAAAAAAATCGCTGTACCTAAACTTTGGTTGACTGTAATTGTAACGTTCATATAACTTTGTTCGCACTAGTGTAATTCGCGCTTCTGTGTATTCGTTATATCTTGTGTCAGTGTAACTGTATGAGCGTGTGGTTTGTTGTTGCTACCCAACAAAAAAGAGGTAATTGCTTTTAGCCGTATCATTAGGGACAAAGCCATACTAGTAAATGCAAGTAACATTCTCGATACTTTTCGTCCGATCCCAAGTCATTTTGGTATCGATACTTTTGAACCGAATTTTACTCCCGGACTTTTATTTTTTAATCTAACAAATTCGTGAATAGTTAAAAATTGTTGGCAGGTTCATTGCCAATAAAAATAAAGTCCTACAATGAAACCCCTATTATCATATCTGCTAGCTTAGAGTGGAAAATTGCTAGGTCCACTTTCCAAAAGGATTAACTAACGTGCTAGTTTTTTTCTTCCCGTTTATATTCAGTTAAAGGTAAATTTACTTGCCAACAAGTGCTACTTTGGGCTGACTAGGCAATTCAGGAGTAAAGTCCTCTCTCGACGTACGAAAACCACACTCTATAAGTCACTCGTCATGCACGTGCGGGTATATGGCGCAGAAGCATGGGCAATGACAACAACCGATGAGACCGCTCTTGGAGTATTCGAGAAAAAGATTTTGCGGAAGATTTACGGGCCTTAACGCGTTGGCGACAGGGAATACCGCACACGATAGAACGATGAGCTGTAAGACATTCCCACGACAGCCGGTCCTACGTACCGGAATGACTTGGGTTTTACCCGACCAAGGGCTGTTGTTTCGGCGATATAACCCCGTTTAGGTCGGCGAAATGTCTCAGAAGTTGTTCGTCCATAGGGCTACATTCGCTACGTTTTCTTCTACTCAGGGCTGGCATCGAGTCAAACCCACGGCCAAAACCTACACCTGCTGTGTATGCCAGAGACGACTACACCACAATTCCACCTCAGTCAAGTGCAATGCTTGCGAGGGGTGGAGTCACCTCAGAGTCTGCTCAGGACTACGGACACATCGGCAGTGGACCACATCGTATGTCGCCCCCTGCTGCTCAAACAGAGCTGCCTCCACGGCTAACCCCAGTCCACCTGAGCAGTCCCACACAAACACCACAGCAAAACAACATAACAACACAATAGACCACACCACAACCGCCACAGACCACAGAACTGCAGGACAACTGCACCACCACCCACACTCCGCCGCCAACAACCCTTGGTTCCTTCTACAATCTGCACAGTATGTCAGACCAAGATATGTATGTGACGTCAGTCAAGTACAACACCTGCCTTGGCTGGTGCCACTTTAGGACATGTTCAGATCTGCGCGCCACGCGAGATTGGACGAGGAATTTCGAGGGCCCGTGATGCGCAGCACGGTCGCAAACTTCAACTGCGACGCCACCCACCACCACCACAGGGCGGCAACCACCTCAGCAGCGCACACAGCCAATGGCGTCACGGCCACACACATCACTCACACCCCGCATTACCACACGTCTCCCGAACCACATGAAGCTCCTTCAATTTAACTGCAACGTTAACTAACCATTTTTATGGGAAGGCATGGTATACTGATAGCTGCGGTCCAAGAGACGAAGCTGCACAGCAATTCAATATTGTTGAATTGTGCCGGGTACAACGTGCACCGTCGAGATCGCGAGCGAGACAATGGTGGTGGCTTAGCGTTCATCACGCACCACTTCGTGCAGTATCGTCTTATCGAAGCAGACATCGACCGCAGGGATACCACCCTAGAGTTTCAGGGCATTGCTATCCGATCAGACGATGTTGAGCTAGAAATATTCAACGTTTACATACCCCCTGTCACCTGCTGCCCGGAAGGATATCACCCTGATATAGGTGCGCTCCTCAGAGGTGAAAACCGAATGGTAGTAGGTGACTTTAATGCGCACCACGATCTTTGGCACTCAAGCCTGTCAAACGATCGTAGGGGAACCGATTTGGCTGAGCAGATAGACGATTCGACATTCTGCACAATGAACGACGACGCACCCACCAGGATTATGGGCAGCTGCTGCAGCTCGCCAGACATAACAATAGTCAGCGCTAGTCTGATAAACAGCGTATCATGGCGACCTATGCTAACTTTGGCATCAGACCATCTGCCCATAGTCATCTCGATCGATAAACCAACCGACTTTGCTTCCGCGGAGCACCGAGCATATATCAACTTCTCCAAAGGTGATTGGAAAGGCTTCGCGGAATTTACTGAAAACACCTTCGCTGCTCTCCCCTCACCAACCGACGTCCACCTTGGTTAACGTAAGTTCCGCAGAGCTGTCACTGCTGCTGCAGCCCGCTTCGCACCGGCAGGATGCATCACTGACCCACGTCCAAATTTCCCTACCGAAGCGGCTGTCCTAGCCGATGAGCGTGACAGCCTTCGTCAGGCCGATCCCGGTGATCCCCGTATCAGGGATCTCAACGCGGAGATTCGGCAACTAGTGAACGTACATAAGCGGAAGAACATCTGAAGACCTGCAACTTCACCTCTGGAGTGAGTAAGCTTTGGTCAACCGTGAGGTCACTGTCCAATCCGACGAAGCACGACGACAGAGTCGAAATTTCTTTGGGCGACCATGCCTCGTCCGACCCGCAGCGATGCGCGAGCTACTTTAGCCGGCAGTTCATACTGCATCCTCCGGTGGACAAAACCAAGCGTCGAGTGACCACAAGGCTGCACAAACTGCCAACAAATTGTGCACCCCTTACTTTCACTTGCGGTGAAGTTCAGGTGGCCATCGGGAAGGCGAAAGCCTCCAAAGCCATGGGTCCCGACGGAATATGCATGCTGATGCTGAAAAATTTGGGTCCTGCGGGGGTAGCGTACCTAACGGAGGTCCCCAATTTGTCTATGGCCACTTTCATCATCCCAGACATCTGGTAGGTGGGGAGAGTGGTCCCACTGCTCAAACCGGGGAAACCTGCCAACAAAGGAGATTCGTATCGACCGATAACGCTCCATTCCCCGGTAGCGAAGACACTTGAGTCCCTGCTGCTCCCATATTTCACGAACCACCTGACCCCAGCGAAGCATCAGCATGGTTTCCGTAAAGTGCACAGTACAACAACAGCACTTAACGCCATAAACACTCAGATAACTCGTGGCCTTAACCGTAACTGTCCCTGTGAGAGAACGATTCTAGTAGCGTTGGACCTGTCAAAGGCTTTTGACACTGTCAGCCATTCCACGCTACTAGAATATATAGAGGCTTCCTCTCTCCCACAGACGCTCAAACGGTGGTCGGCAAATTATCTGAGTGGTCGACACTCGTCGGTAATGTTTAGAGACAAATCGAGCAAACTTAGGAAAATCAAACAGGGGGTTCCACAGGGTGGTGTCCTATCCCCGCTACTGTTTAAATTTTATATTTCAAAGCTCCCTCAACCACCAGAGGGAGTCTCGATTGTCTCTTACGCCGACGATTGCTCGATCATGGCGACTGGGAATGGAATTGATGACCTGTGTTCGAAAGTAAACGGGTACCTCTCCGATTTTTCTCGCTTCTTCACTGCAAAGTGTCTAGCCCTCTGCCCTACGAAATCCTCCGTGACCCTGTTCACCACCTGGACGAAGGAGGTCAGGCTACGGCTGGGAATTCCCGTCGATGATACACCAATTTCGACGGTGAATAACCCCAAAATACTCGGAGTAACATTCGACAGCCTGCTCTCCTTCTCTGCGCACGCAACCGCTATTGTCAACAAAGAACAGAGCCGCAACAAAGTCCTCAAGTCGCTAGCCGGCAGTACCTGGGGCAAAGACAAAGAAACGTTGCTGGCAACATACAAGGCAATAGGCCGACCGGTTTTAAACTACGCAGCACCAGTGTGGTCGCCGGGGACTAGTAGGACGCAGTGGATGAAGCTACAGACAGCACAAAACACCGCACTCAGGACAGCGACCGGATACCTCTTGATGTCACCCGAACACCACCTCCATTACGAGGCGAAAATGCTCCCAATCAAGGAGCATAACATAATGTTCTGCAAGCAGTTTCTGGTTGGGAGCCACAGATGCGGCCACCCAAACAGACAGCTGCTTGCAGAGGAGCCCTCGCCTAGATACGTAAGGAGGCATCTATATGAACTGACGGACGAAGTCCAGAGGTTCATTAAGCAGCCTCTGGACCCGTCAGCATACCGACAGGCCCTGAACGGCATTCAGGGACTCAGTCTCGAGTTATGTAGACTCTAGACCTGTGAATGCCGTTCTAGGCCCACAAACACCGCACATTGACGCGACGGAGCTCCATCTGCCTTGGGAGACAAGAACAACAATAGCCCAGCTTCGCTCTGGCTACTGCAGCAGGCTGAACTCTTACCTGAGTAGGCTAAATGCGGATGTGCCGAATGAATGTCCGGCATGCGGAGAGACCCCTCACGACTCGAAACATCTCTTCGCATGCCCGGAAAAGCCCACAACCCTAAAGGCGCTGTCTCTGTGGACCGACCCCATAGAGGCTGCACGCTTCTTGGGGCTGCCGTTAGTGGAACTCGACGACAACGACTGAGATATCAACCGATCTGGGTGGGGTTGTTATAGCCGCTACAACAACAACAACAACATGAGCTGTATGAGCCTTACAACGACATGGACATAGTGCAGCGAATTAAAATACAGCTGCTCCGCAGGCTTGCCATGTCGTTCGAATGGACAGAAACGCTCCAGCTCTGAAAGCAGTCAACTCGGAACCCGCTGGTGGTAGCAGAGGAAGAGGGATGCCCCCACAGCGTTGGAGAGACCAGGTGGAGAAGGATTTGGCTTCACTTGGCACTTCCAATTAGCGTCAGTTGGCACAGAAGAGAAAGCCACCGGCGTGGTCAAATTCGCTTAGGCGGTTACACAGCCAAATAAGAAGAAGAAGAATTTGTATGAAATCTATACTAATATATATTTTTAAAACCGCTTTTTTTCGGTTCGCAAAGCTCGAGATCGGCTGTATCGATTTTTTTTTTTATTTTTGGTTATAGGTTCTGGATGGGCGTCTCATTGTCTTAGGCAAAAAAAAGTGAAAATACATCTTAAAAAAGGGAACTAGAGGACTTGAAAAATTCTATAGAATCTAACACATCTAAGTGTGCCCTCTGCTGTTAATTTGTACGGATTACAGCGCAAAACAAGGGTTATGTATATATATACACACGTGCTAATGTTAACGTTAATATATCAAAAAAAAAACACAAATATGTACATATGTACAGTTCATGGATAAATAATGTAGGCAATTACATATGTAGTATGTAGAAGGAGCAATTAAAATTGCTGTTAGCACTTACATTTGTATACATATGAATATTTTTGTACATAAATAAATATTTGCCGTCTATCTGGCGAAATCAACTACAGTTGCGTTACTTTGGCCACCTTTTTGCATCATTTGTATGCCCTTTCACAAAAGAGGGAAGGTATTGGACCAGTTGCCCGCAACCGACCATACATTGAAATGTCAATAAAATTAACAGCTGATTTTTTGAGTGAACACCAAACTCAATTCCGCAATTTAAAGCTTATTTGCCTCAGCTAATTGGCATGTTTGAACATAGCCTAACGCATAAAAACTCGTTAAAAAAATATTCTTGTATTTACTTGTTTATAACTCTTGAAATAGTCATTTTGCGTGAAAAAGTTATATAAGCAACATGACTCAGAATAAATAGCCACCATTGGTTTGGTGCATACTTTCGACCTACACGCATGGACTTTTAAACGAATTAGAGCAGTTTAAGTAAATTTACGAAGATGTTGCGGAGGCAGTGCAAGCAAACTTCGTAGACATTTGTGGTATCTTAACGAAGCCAACATTGCTTTGATGAAGAAGTGATGTTAACACTAAGGGTCGGTTACTCAATGTCTGGTTAACACTAATCTCTGGTTAAACATCCTTGTTATATACATGGAGTCGAATACATCGATAACGATGTTTAACCGGAGATTAGTATTAACCAGACTTTGAGTAACCGGCTCCAAGGGCCATTTGCACCATGTCTAGTTAACACTAACTGTTACATGCTGGGTGTCGAGAACGATGTTTAAGTGGGAGTTGGAATTAACCAAACATGGTGCAAACGGACCTAAAAGGAAAATGGTGCTGGGTGTGAAGAAGGAGGGCCACCCTTATCATCCAAATCTTGCTAATTCCATTCCTAGGCAAAATACATTGAGAATTTACATACCAACTTTCCCAACGAAGTATTCAAATGACCTTAGAAAAATGACTTCAGTTTTTACCTTTTAGAGAAAAGGATTTTTTTAGATTTTCCTTGAAATTGCAATGTTTCTTAAAAGACAAAATTCTAAAAACAACTGCAGTGAATTCTCCTTTAAATGATGTAAAGCGCATATAATAATTCACTCGCTTGGAAATATTTATTAAAACTATTAAAAACAACTACATCAAAAATTATGGTTTTGGTTGCAATAAGTTTTAATTTAAGGTTAAAAGAGTGTGCCAAAAAAAAAATTTCACTACTTTAGTCTACACTAAATCGCCTTGTAGCGTTTTTGCCTAAGCCAATTATTTTGAAACATAAAACCAAATACTTGGAACCATCTTTTTTTAGTCCGTTTGGCTTCAGTTCCCTGGGGGCCTGGGATTTTTCCACTAGAGATGTCCTTTTCTTTCGGCGTATCCTTTCTTATCCTCGAGCTATTCAAAAATGCGCGGGGTGCGAAGAAATTCAGAAGTGTGCAATTGTCATATATCTCGGAGGGGATCTAATGTATATATATTGGACCGTATGAATAAAAACTAAATAATTGCTTTTTGTTAACATTTCAGACGTTTCACTCGATTTATTCAAATAATTTTAAATAAAAAGTCTGATATTTGAGAAAAGGCAATGGCTTGGATTTTATTCATACGGTCCAGTGTGGTGTGTGTATACATATCTGCGATCATTTACCTAGTTTTTTCTCTCGGTTTTTTTTTTTATAAATAAAAATGTATTAAAAAGCGGTTATGATTTTTTATTATTAAATTGTATGTTCGAATTCGATTCTTTAGAGATGTCCCGATTTTTGTCCACAGAAATCTGGTCACCGTTAGCAATATGGGTTTAGGAAGATGATATTGATATTGATGTTATTATGATACCTTAAGTGGTGTCCAAAATAAATATCCACATGCAGTGGCGGATTTGCCCTGAGGCCCGGGCCTAGGGCGCCGGAATATTAGGGACAGCCAATATGCTAAAAAATATACTGATGGTAAAAAAGACACGCACGACCCAAAGTAAATAGTTGTAAACTCAATATATGACACTTAACCCTTGAAAGCTATATGGTTGTACGGGGGGGGGGGGGGGGGGGGGGG